CAGAAGCAAAAACCTTATTCGAAGTACAATAAAATACAATAGAGACCTTTAGCATCAGGTTTTTCATGGGAAACCGCAACTTCAAATGGCAGTTTGCAGTTACATGTTTGCAGTTTCACGTCGCCCAGATTTCAAATTTTAGCACAGCGTTCAGTTCAGTTCAGTTGATTTTTATTTGGCCAAAATATAATACAAGACAAGAATACATATAGGAATAATTCCTAAGGTTGCAAAGGGGCCCAGAAGAAACCAGAAGGCTTACGAAGCCTGGGCTATCCAGTCTCAAGAAATAAGTAAAATAAAATCAAATTCATGGAGTGATACATTAAAAATAGGAACTAAACAGAGACTGAGTTAAGTTATGAATTCAGTGACAAGGTAGAAAAAATTTTAACTCTGGATTGGAACAGAATACCTTCTTTTGTTAGTACAGCAGAAAGGAATAAAAAATCGATTTGAACTACGTATTCATTGTTTAGGGCTGCCAAGTTGTTTTCATTAAGTCGACGTGCATCACTTTAATCACCCAAAAAGCAGCAATAATTCTTTGATTCGAGATCAAAATCCAACAAACACATCGCAAATGGATATAAAAAGCTAGTTCATGCCTTTAAATGTGAGGCTGTACAATTTTCAGTGGCAAAAAACCTTGCCCTAAATCACTTACCGCTGGAAGCCCTTCCTGTGGTTCAAACGTGAATTGCAAACTGCAAACATGGCTGCACGGCCGTGGTCACATGACATTTTGCGGTTTGCGATTTCCCAAGAAAAACCCACTGCTAAAGATCCCTAATAACTTTTATTTCAACACGATGGTGATTAAACAATAAAGCCTTGCCGCTTATGGGGTCATGCATGTAAGCTAACTAAAACTTAAGAGATAAAAGTATATCAAAATCGTCTTAATAATATAAAAAATTATTGTCACTGTGAGGCATTGTTTGGGGAGATTCAGCCCAAAAAACTAAATGGGTTATTCCAGAAAAAATCCACACCCCCATGATGGAAGGCACGGTTTTTTGACCACCCATCCACCTGTATTTCCAAAACTGCTTGAGCCCCCCACCCCTCAGGATTTCCAAGTTCAAAGGCCATCTGGATTTCCACAAAATTGTTAGACACCGTGATTTTACTTTACACTCAATGTACAAGAATCCTTTTAGGCACTTAGATGATCTTTTTATTAAATAAGTCTCAATGTTCCGAGAATTCTGTGTTTGTTGTGAACGTTAAGATTCCATTTTCACATCTTATTACACTTTTTGCAAATATGCTCATATTTGAGTGAACTTCTCTTTTTTTCTAGAAATTATGGCAAAAATAGCAATATATACTACAATAAAGCTCAAAACTAACTATGCTCTCGAATACATGGTTCTCTTCTTTGTCGATAAAAAATGACCACAAAAGACAGAAAAAGGACCCTTAGTGGGATATTACATGACATGCTGTACCACTTGCCACAACACTTGCCTTTCAAAATGGCTGCCAAACAATCACAAACAACCACGCTTACAAAATGTACTTGTAAGGCCAGTTTAGTGGTAAATCACCCGAAATAGCTTTAACCTTGGAAAAATGTATAATTCAAGGTAAAATCATTGTTTGCTTTACTTGAACTGAGCGCTTTTTTATGAATTACAGTTGACTTCCGATAACTCGAACCTTCAACGGAAATCAAAAAAAGGTTTGAGCTATCGGGAATTTGAGTTATCGGCAGTTTGAAGAAAATAGCCGAGAGTAAGGAAAAAACAGTTTTTACTGGACAGTGAACATTTTAATCACATTTAATTGTAGACATGTCAAGTGAAAATTAAAAGATACTTCTAGATTATAAATCAGAATGCAACGTAACAAAACATAGCCTAAATAGAGCATGTGTTTTACTGTTTTTAGAAGAAAAGCTGCTTCATGCTAGCCTGTGACAATCAACATCAGCCTCAACCAGTAAACTATACTCCTACAACACGTCAATAGAAAATCCTAAATTCAATGTTTCGAACACCCAAAGACGGCTTTTTTCCCGACTTTTTAAGGGCTTAAAACATGGTTCGAGTTATCAAGGTTAAATTATATAGAAAATTACATGAGGGGAAACAAAAATTGGTTCGAGTTAGCGGGAGTTCGAGTTATCGAGGGCTCGAGTTACCGAGGGTAAAATTACAGTGAACATATGACGGAAATCCAGGGGAAATCGATTTTGGTTTGAGTTAGCACGAGGTTCGAGTTAGCGAGGGTTCGAGTTATCGGGAGTCGACTGTATGCGATTTTTCTTGATATCTTCAAGTTATCACACGTCGCTTCTACAAAAGTAACGAGGGCAAGCCTATGGATGGAAACTAAAAATAAATGTGGTCAGAGGTGTGTAGTTTGAAAGGACAATAAAATTTGAAAACGCAAAGCAATTTTTGAAAAGTTATTGGTTGAAGCCATTGAAACATCAATGAAATCGAAAGTTACCCCCGAGGATGTAATCTTAGGTTCAGAGCCCCCCTTCCATCTGGATTTCCAAAGCCGTTAACTCCCCATCCAGTGAGATTTTCCAACATGGGAGTGGATTTTTTCTGGAATAACCCAATTGCGTAGGTTGTCAGATTTAAAGGCCATTCTAGTGTAATTTTTAAAGTTGAATGTCTTTGCAAGGTAGAGAGGAACTCCAAAGCGTTTATTCAATGGTTTGACGAAAATTAGGTGGAAAAAGTTGATGTGGAGGCATTGAACATAGTAGATGACCATGAAAAATTGTTTTTGATATGTGACCTCATTTGGGAAAAGGGGTATTAAGGTGAAAGGCATTTAAATGCGTTTTTACCTCTAACATGTTTAAACGGCGTTTTAACGTGTCACTTTGCCGTTTTAATGCATCTTTAATGCATTTAAAAACAACCATGTGCCTAAAATGTCCAAATGTCTTAACGCGTTTTAACGTTCCTATAATTATTACTTTCTCTTGTCAAAACATAATTTCACAAATAATTAACCCAGGGACCCCCCTGCACTAACGGAACAAAAATAAACGTGACGTTTCTGGGTTGTACAGTTTTGTATTCGCTATATTACACCTGAAAAGGAGCAACACCAATGCAATGAGGCAAAATGATAATAAATCTCCACGAGTTTTGCCATTAGGTATTTACTCTCTTTGACCAGATGCTGTGCAAGAACTACGCCAGATCGATCGGTAAAGATTGTCATCTGTCTCACGTCTATCATGTCTGCACTAGTACAATCGTTTGAAAAAAAACTGTTTTAAAAAGGTGAATAATTATAGTAGATAGAGAAACAAAAAGAAAAAAAAGGATAGGCATAAAAAACATTCCGTGACACTGAGCTTGGTGAAATGTGATCCTAGTCTCAATTATGTATTCATGTTACGCGGCTGTGTACACAAATGTCCCTTCCACAAGAGCAAATGCTCCTGAACTGGTGGCAAAATCTGTGATAGTGTGGAAAATATTATTTCGTTTTGGCAAGGAAACTGATTACTTTGTAATCGATGTTGAAACAAGTTAGATTGTTCCAGTGGCTATGTGACAGGAGGACTTGTCTGGCGTTTATTGAATTTTGAAACACTACAACAGCAACAGTGGATTATTGGTTTCAATTTCGACACTCGTTAACTCGCTCAAACAAACACTGATCAGATTCTTTTGCGGAATGAAACGACTTTTGAAATATTGTGGCAGTGACAGTAAAAGGATCAAACTTGGAACGAAGTGGCTGGATTTCGATGTTTACAATAAATCGCGCAACTTCAAATTACACCGGTAAGCATTCAATGTGTTCAAGTAAACAAGTTTCTTACTTCTCCAACTTAGGGTATTGTGTTTTAATAAAATCTTCTTTGCATCAATTACGGAGTAAGCTGATCTTTACATGAAATTATGACCAGTTAATATTAAAATTGTACGCAATTGACAACGGAAAACCCCTTCTTTTCGAAGACAACACAAAATACATTGACTCGTGCCAAAAGCTGTTTTCAGGTAAAAGCTTTTTTCACTACGAAAGGATTGAAAGGCAGAAGGTAAGTAGTTACAATGTAGTTCACGCTTATTATTTTGTTAATTCTGGCTGAGCGAGAATTCTACATGTACATCTTCATTGCATTGGGAACTTTTTAATTACGAAGTTAATCGAGTGTAATTGCCCAGCCGAGATTTTAATTTAATCGCACAGTGAATACAAATTAAGTTACTTTAATTTTGCAGGGAAAAAATTGTCTTTCTCCCAGATAGAATCGATAAGACAAAAGCATTCTTTCAGTTTTTATTTGCAGCTATATCTCGGTTATAATTAAGCCAAACGAGTGTGTATAATATGCAGTCCGAGGTTAATTATTTCAAGCTAGTGAACTACATTTTTGATGCGCTTTTAGGGCTGGTGTTTTAACGCATTTAAACACGCGTTAAAACGGGCTAAAATGCCGTTTTCTCAATTCACCTTAATACCCCTTATCGCAAGTGAGGTGACACATGCTCTGAAGTCAACAACTCAAACACGACTTGGAACTGGCCACCAGTGTATCCCGGGGGCAGGTGACAATGGTAGCTTTTCTGGAGAATTATTGCTCTTGGGTGGGAAGAATTTGTGAACGTCGTTCTGCAAATGCGCGGGGGTTCCCTAGGGTCATCCCCCCTCCCTGGGAAGGCCGCTGGTAAGTGCATTAGCATTTACCCGATTTCTACGAAGTCGTTCGCGTCGGTATCAATCGCGTGCCGTAGTTGCTTTGTTTACGCCCCCGTAAAAAGAAGACCGATAATCTTACCAAAAGAGGAAGAGGCAGTAGACTTAACAGTACCAAATACCGATACAGTAGATGAGGCCGTTGTTCCGGTTCCAAAAGCACCAAAACTCGGCGTGCTTGTTGAACCAAAAATAGTCGGATTTGCCACCTGGCTAACTCCAAGGCTTCCAAATGCTGAAGCAGAACCTGAAGGTGTACCAAACGTAAGCCTACCAGCAGATGAAGGCTGGCTGGTAGAACCAAACAATGCCATGGCCGCAAAAAGGAGTTACAACAACTATCAAGCAGTCTATCAGTCAAGCTCAGACCGAGACTGAGGGAGTCTCCACCGGGTTGAGCCCGCAAACTATAGTACATATAACACATGTAAGCACACCATATAGTCGTGTACTACACATACAATGCATTCATTGATACCTCTTTTAGTTTCGCCCTTCCCGCCAGAATTCTATTAATGACACAGGAAAAAATAACGGATTCCCATTTTTGGATATTTTAGGATATTTAAAGAATACCCACAAAAATCCCAAATTTGGAAGAGTGAGACAAGTCCCAATCTGGGAACTTAGTTGGGAATTCCCTGGTTGGGACTTGTCTCACTTTGCCAAATTTGGGATTTTTATGGGTATTCTTTAAATACCCTAAAATATCCAAAAGTGGGAATCCGTTATTTTTTCCTGTGTACAGGAAAAAATAACAGATTCCCAATGTAGGATATTTTAGGGTATTTAAAGAATACCCACAAAGATCCAAAATTTGGCAAAGTGAGACAAGTCCCAACCAGAGAATTCCCAACCAAGTTCCCTGGTTGGGACTTGTCTCACTCTTCCAAATTTGGGATTTTTGTGGGTATTCTTTAAATATCCTAAAATATCCAAAAATGGGAATCTGTTATTTTTTCCTGTGATATGATGCTTACACCACGTACCTACCACAAAATGACTGAAGTTCCGCTTACTTGATCGATCGCAGCGAGAGGGATGTATATTTGAGTTAGTTTGAGTTTACCCTGGTCCCAGAGGTTTTTCTTGATTTTTCTTCGCGAAAGAGATCAAGAGCAAACCGCGAAGCGGCGACAACGAGTCGCGAAAGCGACGAGGAGAGAGAGAAAAACCTCTGGTTACCTTGGCCTCGAATCTCACTTCCATGCTGACGACAGGGTCAGGATCTGACCCTCGGGCGTTGATTGGTTGATAGTTTTTCAAACGCGCAAACCAATTTGATTGGCTCGTTTAATTGTAACTACCGAGGGGACGCTGAGGATTTTCACACCTCATTTTGCCTCTCTCTACTAGGGAAGAAAATTGTTTGTATGCTGCACTCGCAATAACATTTGCACGGGACCAAGGCACGTAGAGGCACGCCATGGATGTTGTTCCTGAAAGAATATTCGAAGAAATTTTGACCTCGGTACTTAATGAGCGCTTTCCTGAATCTCACTGAGCAACAAAAGAAAGCTTTGTTCGCTTCGTTGAGTCGAAAGGATGTGTTCACCATTTTATCAACCGGACATGGAAAGTATATTTTCTGTTACAATACTGTCATTCCATTAAATAAACTAACTTGTTTAGGGCAGTAAAATAAAAAATCTCCGAATACGGAATGAAAGTTTCCTTGTAGGAAAAAAAACATACAACTTTGTACAAGTACATAATCATTTTCGGGTGCAGCTTGATTTTCCTGCGACGCCCAAAAAAGATCTAACCGACGCTATTTTTGGCATAGACCTATTCGGCTAACTCAATGTTCTACCCAATCCAAATCTCCCGGGGATAAGATTCTTTGTGTATTGCATTTGCATTATAATGTGGCATTCACATTTAAATGATATGGAAATTCCTGAAACAAAACGTTTTATTCTCAAAGGGTTTGAATTCGGTACATTGAGTTAGCCGAATAGGTCTATTGGGCCAACAAAAACCTCTGAAAGTACATTCCGAACCTTAAGGGTTTGTTGTGCTGCATGACTCTTCCTAGCGTCGTTGTTCCACAAAAAAAGGAAATGGAGCCACCAAACCAAAATGCGAGCCAGATTGCCAGAATACATATTAATATTACTATTTTCAGGGGAATGCCCGCGAATCGACCCGAACGGCGCGCCCCGCAGAAGTAAACAATGTAATAAGCGCGATTGATAGACTCTTGCAAACTTTACAACTTCCCCCTGGCACACTGCTGACAGAACAGATGACAATGTTTGTGAAAAATCCTTGTTATTATACCCAAATAAATTCTGCAAATCCTGCAGCATTCGTTTGGAACAATGTCGGTTTCTTTATAAAGTGGTCTTCTTATTCCTGGACTCTTGTCGCCCATCGTTAACACATGCTTTAGCTTGACCCCGATTAACAAATCACTCTTTACCACCCAAGTGAAGATGGTTTGTTCATAACATAATTTCCCCAGGTCTACCCCCACTTAAAAAAATAGCGGCTGATAAGCACGTGTTTGCTAAGTTGCCATTGGTCACTCTTTTTATTAGCAATTTGACGCGTTTGACAGCTGTCGTCTGCATGAAAGTGAGATTCGAGGCCAAGGTAACCAGAGGTTTTTCTCTCTCTCCTCGTCGCTTACGCGACTCGTTGTCGCTGCTTCGCGGGTTGCTGTTGATCTCTTTCGCGAAGAAAAATCAAGAAAAACCTCTGGGACCAGGGTAGTTTGAGTTATAAAACCTTCAATATTGTCTTTTCCAGTTTATATCACTAAAAAAAAGGTTAAATCTGTAATAGACTCAGCTGTATTGCATTGAACGACGTGGCTTATGGTCTTCCCAAGGAAAGCTGGTTTCGGTCGATGTTATTTAGCGTCAACACGTCACGAAATCCTATCTAACATCGACCGAAACCGAACCGGAACTCCGCTGCGGCTACGAAAAAACCGAAATAAAATAAACCCCGCGAGAGTGCGAATCCCATCCCAGTTTTATTGCTGTCATTTGAGTTTCAAACAGTAGTTTTCCAGCTTTTCGACTTTCACCTAGGAAAGTTAAAGAAGTTCATAATAAAAAACGTTCTACTTTCACAATCAGACGTGCCAACTTTCAACATGGCTAGAATTGGGCAGGCACGGATCAACACCGGTTTCCTCCCTTTTACCGAAATCGTTCGGATTTTTTATAATAAATATGCTTTCCAAGTTGCCGCCGCCATATTGGAAAGCGCCAAGACCCTGGGGACGAGGCAGAATAAAATGAGCACAAGTCGGTTGTAAAGTCGGTTGCCATGTTGCCTGGAAACCCAAAATGCACGATGACGTCATGCTGAGTGGCGTCTTTAGGATTTGTTTGTGGCTTGTTGCTAGGCACCTGTGGATACCAAACCGAGAGAAAGAAAGATTTATTAGGGACTTGTCGGAAATTAGCAGGGGGGGGAGGGAGGTGGAAACAGAGGGTCACAACTTTTTGACACTGCAGAAAAGGGAGGGGTCGTGAAAAAATGGGTCATGCAAATATATGTCCGTGATCATGTAGAGGTTCACCCACAGAAGAAAAAAGAAGTTCTTTATTTTGTACAAAACACCTGGGGAAATCATTCTCGTCCCCAGAGCCACTCGGCTTAATTTCTAACCGACCAGTGTGACCGACCCTCGTTTCCCTACCACGTGACCAAGAAACGACGGGCTCTGGGGACGAGAATGGGGAGAAATAGGAGAGTCGAGTGATCAGCTGTCAGAATCAGAGTCGGACTCAGCTTAATGCTGTCATCTAAAAGGTATGTATATGGCATTACAAAGAACAGATTAGAAATATATTTTGAGCTTTCATAATACTGACTCACCCTAGTGTATTGCAAGAACTAGATTTTATCTTTTATACTACTACATGGTAAATTTCTTCAATTTGATTGGCTAAGAGCAGTGGTATTTTAGCTTAATTTGAAATACCTACATGTGAAAATTACAAAACCTTCGCGGGTAGTAGTATAAACAAATAATAGCACGATTTGTACATGATATTTGGCATAAATACCACTGGTGATATTTCAAAATTGTCTCAAATTTCACTCGCCTAACGGCTCGTGAAATTACGTATAACAATTTTGAAAAAAATATCACTCGTGGTATTTATGCCAAATATCACTACAAATCATGCCATTACCTATACTTATACAAGAGGGGGATGGTCATGATATTTTAGGCCAAGGTGTCAAGGGGAGGGTTAGAAAATTTCACTCCCATTGCAGGGATGGGTCACCTTATTTTCGAACCCAAATTTAAAATTCCCTCCCCCCCCTTCCCCCTGCTAATTTCTGACAAGTCCCTTAGTATAGGTAATAGCATGATTTGTAGTGATATTTGGCATAAATACCACGAGTGATATTTCAAAATTGTTATACGTAATTTCACGAGCCGTTAGGCGAGTGAAATTTGAGACAATTTTGAAATATCACGAGTGGTATTTATGCCAAATATCACGAACAAATAATGCTATTATTTGTTTATACTACTACCCACAAATGGTTTGTAATTTTCACATGTAGTAAAGCGAAATCGCGCGCAGTCTGTTTGCGATCCTCGCGTGATCGCAACAAAATTATAAACTCGCTCCGCGAGACAAGCCAACTGCAATCATGATTATTACTTTTATAGTTTCTTTCCAAGGACAATAAGGGACTGGAACTCTCTACCAAGTGGTATTTGTACTAGTACAAATTTTTCATTTTTTAAAGATCGCTGTTTCTCAGCTATTAGAAATAATTGATCGCTGTCATTTATTTATCTTTTTTTTATTATTTATCTTATGCATTTGTGTGTATATCTATTTTATATTTATTAACAAAAAATTTTATCATTTGAAATTGTAATATACATGTATTACTATAAGTAATTTACTAGCGTTTTTTTTTTTTAAATTCTATTATTGTGTTTCTGATATTGTAATTTATTTAATTTATATTGACTTGATGCGAAAGCGTTCTCAATTAATAAATATATGTATAGTTCTCAATTAATTTATGTTGCACAACTATATGGTGGGCTAACATGTAGTTCCTGTAGAGGTCGAGTTGATGCTGAAGCAAACCATGGACGAGGAAGTGTTGGAACGGTAAGTTGGAAAAGCAATTCTCACTATTACTATTTTTCGGATTACTCATCATATCTGGGAAAGGAGTTTTCTTTCAATCACCAATCCATAATAAATAAACAAGAGTGATCCATCTTTTCTAATCAAAAAGTTGGTTTTCAGAGGCACCCAACGAGGATATAGTTCAAAACCACTTAAAGTAGCATTGTTGAACGTATTTTAGTATTTAA